GGCATCAGGGATGACACCGTAACCATGCCCAAGATTTATCAACGGCGGCGGATGTTCCTTCCCCGTGTTCGTGGTTTTCGCTAAGTATATATGCTACTGACACTGTGTATGTGTCCACGTGTTGCACCTGCGGCGACGGCACCAGGGACGACACAGTGACTGTGTCCGTGATTTCTCAACTTTGGCGGATGTTGGTGGCGCGTTCGTGGTTTTCGCTAAACGTGCTACTAACAGTTTGTATGTACGTCCGTGTGGTGCACCTGCTCGATTTCATTAGTTTAACAACTGTACATCTAGGAATTTACCCAGCGGCATTGTGAGTACTTCGAAATATATTTTTGCGACAAAATAGTCAGTTGTTACTATGTGGTCTGATTGCTTTGGTCTACAGCTTTGCAAATTGTTTCAGTGGTATCGACCCTACGAAATAAAGACATGGAACTTTCAGGTCTATATGAGATAACCGTTTTAATTGCTACCGAATCGTCCAGCATCTGGTAAACATACACCACCCACAGTTCGCAGGCTTCTTCCTAAATGCCTTCCGTTGACGTCAAAAAAAAAATAGTAAGTTCCGATAACTGCGGCCAGTCCGGTGACTCCCTTAATTTCTGGTGAATCCAGGCGAGCCCGGTGACTTCCAATAAGTTCCGGCTTTACCGGAAATGAAGAGTTCCATAAACCAGTAAAAAAAATTTTTTACTGAAAATAAAATTCCGATGAAAAATCTTTTTTCTAAAAGGCTTAGCTTTATCGGAAATCGAGAGTCCCATAATGCAGTAAAAAATTTTTTTTACTGAAAAGGAAGTTCCGATGAAAAATATTTTTTCAATAGGCTTGTCTCCTTGCCTTTTCACTTGGAGCATCGAGGAACGGCAAGACTATGTATCTCTTGTATTCTGCGGTGAACTGGATGGCGTGTTCTATTCGCAACTCCAGCCCGCCGCTCGCCCTCCCGCGGACGAGCGGAGAACTAGAGGAACGGGGACGGCAGCGGTGGCAGCGGCGCGGAAAAGGGCTGTCGGCCTTGATGCCTGAAGCAGTTTTAACGAAAAAAGTGAGCGCGTTAAGATAGGTATTCTTGTGCTCTGTCTCGCAACAGCGTTGCACGAAGGACTGGGATGTATAATTTCATTAGGGACTTTTCATATATCGCATACGCTTCGCATTTCTGGTCTTGCACATGACCGCCAGCTCAATCTGTGCTCCCGTTCCCTCTAATAATGTAGAGCTCTAGCGAACGATCTACGAAAAGCCTATTCGTTGCCCTAAGTAGGAGAAAACTGGTCGCGCAACGATATGTCGAGCAATACACGTCGGGAATGGGTTTGCGTTTTAAGGCAATATAGGAACATGACCATTCATTCCATGCATTTTTAAAAGATAGAATACACGTATTTGCTTTCAGATAATTACAATGTAAATAAAGAAATGCCCGAAGCATTTTAAGCGCGTCTGCGTTGGCCGGCCGTTCGTGACGAGTGCTTAGAACGGGCAGTTGTGGCGAGAGGGGCCGCAACGTTGCAAATAACATTATAAAAAGAAGTATGGTGTATTAAAGTATGCATTTTTAGTAGCGCAATAAATCAAACCCTAAAATACTCCGATCATGTTAATAGGCAGTTTTAGCATAGCATTACCGCAGGCTGCCGTTTGCTACCGTGAGTAGGGCAATCGTAGTGGCACGCGCTGAAATTTGTGCTCCAAAGGCGCAGCGCGAGCCTCCGGTTGTAATGCTACACTGCATGGTAGCCCGCGGTAACAAACTTCTAATCAATAACGATAGAGCCGTTTGATCACGTGTTGCAATACGCTAAAACCGAGACGGTGAGCAGAGAGTTGCGAGCCTGCGACACGAAGACATCAATACTGTGAACGCTGCTCTTCCGAAGCTTGACGGTCACCGTGCGCGGCTCACTTTTTAGAGCAGTAATGGCCAGGCAAAGCCCAAAGACGCTATCTTCATCACCCTCAAAAGTATTCTACCGCAAACAGTGACGTGGCCGGTGCGTAAGACGCGCTCGCCCATCGCAAAGCTTCGCAAGTCGAGGTTTCTGCAACTTTTAAATATCAGCATGCTCATTTTGCTAACGCGCATAAACATTTTCGTTACCTGTAATACGATCCTGCCCTAACACTTGGCGTTTGCAGGCCAATAAATAATTTTAGCGCGCTGACCAGCGTCATCGAGCAGGCGCACGGGAAACCCTGGAGAATCTATCCCCGTCTCTTCCACCATCTTAGAACTACCGCCCCACCACCTATAGGGCGTTGGAGTTGCGAATCGAGAATAGGTGTGGCAAAAAATAGTTCACCTCTGGTTCCTTCACGACGAAAAAAAAAACAATCATCCACATAGCGCATAAACGCCTTTGGCCTGTTGGCAATAGAGTTCCTGTATAGGCTCCGTACTGGAGCCACAGTTGCTCGCCTGTTTTCCACGTGCCGCCGCGCCGTTATTTCCCGAGATCCGATCACGTGACGAGCAGACTTCGAATGCCACGCAGAAAAGCAGGCGCTATAGGGATGAACGCGCAACTGTGGCTTTCTTAGGGAGCTTATACAGGAAATATAGTTGGCGAAAGTGCCTAGCGCCTTCTGTTCAAGCACTTCAATTGTGAGGTTTGCCGTCGTGACAGAAATAGAAGCGCCAATTGCCGTCTCGCTGACTTGTTTGAAGGGCTCACCCTTGAAACTGAGGTACGCATTGCCAAGGCAGAACTAGAGAAGTCGGCATAGCTCATTCACACGAAGGCTGGTTCTTGAGCCCAATGTTTTTTTCTTTCACGATGACCTCTCTCTCTGTAGCAACTGCTAAGTCAAACTGGAACTCTGGTAAAAAGTGATACAACGTCGAAAGACGCAATTGCGTCATCATCGCTGAGTCGTACCTGCGAGGCATATTCTGTGCATGAAGTGGCCGGTGTTCAGCACATGGGTCGGCGTGTTTCGAACAATGGGAGCTTTTGTCCGGGGTAGGTAACTCGATAGCTCTCGGTGCGGTGAGGTTGTAAAATCTACGATAGGTCGCAAGGGGACGTTAGGTTTGCAGGTCTTGGGTAGTCTGTAAAAGCTCGGCGCAGAACCATTCCAGCAGATGAGCCGCAATTAAAGGGCTTTCGACTCTGGGTATTGGTTGAAAATGTCAAACATCTTGTTCATGTTCGGCTGAACTTGGGATGTTGGGTATTTCTTAAGCTTTCCATATGCTGGAATGTCGAAAAGTCCAGGACCCACGCTCGATTTTTCTTTATCTCCCTCTCTCTCCTCCCCCCCCCCCCCCCCCCCCGGCAGGAGCACAATCTCTGTATACTCGCGTAGCTTCCGAAGCGGAGCAGTTTCATCTCGTGATAGATTGTGGCGTTTCCGATGCGAATGTTTTAAAAGGACGCCTACCACTTATAGTCATACACCTTTCAGGAATGACAGGGTCTAGCTGCTCAATGCCATCCTCCACCGCGGGAACCATTTTTGGTAGAGCAGTATGTCAGAGGCACCATAACCGTGGATCGCCGGGTGACACACTGCTTCGGCCCATCGCGCGCAACAGCGTCCCTTTTGTAAAAAAAAAGAAGAAAAACAGCGAGCCATTGGCGCGCATGTTCTGAAAGTAAGATATTCAAGTGGCGCACAAGCCAGTGTCGACATTTGGACGGCTGATGCCGAGCCCGAAGGATCGTCTCCCCCCAAAAAAGCACGAGGCGTAGTCTATATGATACGTTTACAGTTTGCCTCGCCGCCTACATCGACGAAACTAAATCTTTTCCGAAACGCATGCGCCAACACCAGAACGATGTGCGCAATTTTGATCGCGAGCCTAGAGCCACCGCCGAACATTGTGAGGTACTCGATCGTCGGATCGACTTCGCCAACGCGCACATGATAGACACGGAGCCGGATATCCCAAAAAATCTGTTCTTGAAGTCGTGGCATATTCAGAACACACCGGGGAACATTAACAGGGCCCTCGGTGCCTTACCATCTATTTGCGTCCAAGGCCAGCGTCACGTTTACAAAACATTAACCCGACAGAAGAGGAAAAAGAAGTCAAAGCTCTCGCTGTCCTCTTCTATTTTTAATAGCCCCTGAACAAGGAGTCAAGTCGACATGGAAATTTTGGGAACTGATATTTGCGGAAAGTGCTGCTTTAGCCGTCGATTGTTCTCAGCCTGTGTGCCGCAGCATAACCACCTGAGATTGGAAAGATAAGCGCAGGCTGACGATGGCTCCCAGCGTAAAATGGAACATGATCACAACTTCAGCCTGCGTCTAAACTCACTTTGTTACGACATTCCCTTCGTAGCAAACGAAACTCCTTTTTTTCGTGTTTTTTTTTTTATAGGATGAGGTACACTGTTTTCTTGTTTCATGTTCTCCTGCGAATGACATTTCGTGGCAGGCGAGCCGTCTGCGAACACTGTCTTAGCTCGCTTCTTGAAAAGTAAATTGGATCTAGTTGCCGTTCCTGCGGTGACCACTATTGAACTTTAAGGGCGGTGCGATTGTTTTTAGCCGGCGCTCTGCGGGAGATTCCAGTATTAGACTGTAATTTATTTTCTGAGGTGTTATTTCACGCCACGTTCTCACTCGCCTCAAGCGCACCGTTTGGTATCTCTTGAATCCAGTTGAGACCTGATAGGGGTTATCCGGAAGCGTGTCCTTCAGGTCTTTAGTGAATTTCCTTTTCTTCTTTGCAACGAGGGTCTTGGGGGCTGCACTCCACCTCCCAGTTAGTGGTTAGGCGGAGTACTCGTGGTCCCGGGGCAGCCGATAGATTTTCTCGGGGAAGGTTTCAACGTTACCCTTTCGCAACCATGTCGACCAGCTCCTGACTCCTCTTGGTCTTATATAAAAATATTCACAAAAGCTCAAAATGTTCCAAGGCTGCCCAATAGATGCCTACAGTGTGCCGGTCTGTTAAATGGAAACAAGATATCCCAACGCACTTGCTGACCGCCAAGCGTAAAAAATTAATACACAGAGTTGATGCAAGTACTCACCCTTGGGAAAGTTTCTAGTATCCTGATTCTTCATCACCATGCATGATTGGTGGTCCGAATACAAAATATCCAGCTCACTATGACGCGTGTAAAAGTCTGTTGAAAAAAGAATTACGTGTAAATATTAAAAAAATAAACATCATGTTTAACACTTTGCAACTAAACCGCCCAGTAATGGCATTCCCGAATTTAGTATGAAGCGCTGCGTTTTACGTAAATTTACTAATCAACAATCGAGAAGGACGTTTATTGAATAAAATATCCCTGGTTTGTCGTGAGTCGCAGCATGCTATCTAGTCCTTACAGCTTTGATGTAATCATTGTATACAATGCGCCTGCAGCTAAAAACCAAGACCAAAACTGCCAAATATGTCTTAAGTTTTTTTTTTATAACCTCTTTGTTTTCTTTTCGGCACTCAAATATAGGGAAACGTTCTGAGTATCAAATTTAAAAATATATTTGCGAAAGGGTAAATATTAAAAAAAAAGAAACAATAAAATATAGCTTATTTTATTCTTACTCTATAGTATCCTCCATTCATTGCTGACATTTTTTCTTTTAAGAGCCTCACTTGAGCTATTTAATTTTTAAATCTCACTTTATCAGTCCTTAAAAGGCTATTTCAACGAAATTTGAAATATATTCGTCGTGCTTAGAAATAGGCTGCATATGATCCACACTATTTATTCACCCACGAATGACTCTCGACTCTTGAGGCCCCGTAACAGACTCAGCTGTTTTCCTTTCGAAAACTATCTGAGAAGGCTAACTGTCTTTTTTTATTGTAATGCAATTAAATGCGACGGTGCAATGGAGCTGGACAAGAATGACGAAAATGATCCCGGGAGAGGGGGAACAAAGGGGACAAAAGACAAGCACAAATCTCCAAACACAGCTAGGTGACCGGTGCGCGACCGCGCACCAGTCACCTAGCTGTGTTTGGAGATTTGTGTTTGTCCTTTGTCCCTCTTGTTCCCCTTCTCCAGGGATTATTTTCGTCATAACTGTCTTTGTCAGCTCAGACAACAGGCCACTTTAGAGGCTTCCCAAAATAATAATTTCAGGAAAGATCCTGTGAATTAAGCAGCAGTCGTGACAGTACTTGCTCCATTAAGGCCACATTCTGCATGCAAACGTTACCTCGTGATGTAAACTGTTTCCGAGTAAATAACTCTGAGGAACAGTTCACTAGAGTAGCTTTAAAGGGCTCTTTGTTGAGTGTGCAAAGACGAGACAACTGCGTTCTTTTTTTGAAGGTCGTGTTCTGGTTCATGCTAATTTGCAACGCGCGGTGCTCATGTTCTTGTGGGGCGCGACTTTAAACACGTGCAAGACATGTATCAGTATTCATGTCGGTATTTAATTTTGTCAATATCTTTAGTATCGTGCATGGACGCATTGCCAACGTTTCCTTCTGCAGACGTTGTTTGCAAAGAGATGCTTTTTTTCCATTCAGAGAAAAGCAAGCCTTATTTCCTCTGTTCCATCTCATTTGAGCTGTAGGGACCATGATTGACTGTAATTTTATTTAATGAAATCTACCACTTTCCATGTAACACATAGTACAGTTTGTGAACGATAAAAGTACCTATGCGATGCCGTCGTGGTGGCTGGCAAATGAAGGAGAAAAGACAACTTTTTTTTAGGCCTCCTAGTGCATCAAAACTATTAATCAGTAAGCTCAACAGAAAAAAAATGAAAGCCGTTTACAACTCCCTGTAAGACCCAATTGGAGCGCAGCTCTTGAGGAGGAGGAGGGAAGGGTACTGAGGGTTACCTGTTCTCGGGGCGGGGGGGGGGGGGGGGGGGGGGAGTCATGTGACCTTGGGGGGTCACCCCCCAGAAAACGTTTTTCGCTAGATTTAGCGGGGAATTTTTTCCGCTAAATCTAGCGGGAAAATGTTTCCGCTAGATTTAGCGCGGAATTTTTTCCGCTAAATCTAGCGGGGAAATTTTTCCGCTAGATTTAGCGGGGAATATTTTCCGCTAGATCTAGCGGGGAATTTTTTCCGCTAGATTTAGCGCGGAATTATTTCCGCTAGATTTAGCGGGGAATATTTTCCGCTAAATCTAGCGGGGAAATTTTTCCGCTAGATTTAGCGCGGAATTTTTTCCGCTAAATCTAGCGGGGAAATTTTTCCGCTAGATTTACCGGGGAATATTTTCCGCTAGATTTAGCGAGGAAATTTTTCCGCTAGATCTAGCGGGGAATTTTTTCCGCTAGATTTAGCGCGGAATTATTTCCGCTAGATTTAGCGGGGAATATTTTCCGCTAGATTTAGCGGGGAAATGTTTCCGCTAGATTTAGCGCGGAATTATTTCCGCTAGATCTAGCGGGGAAAATTTTCCGCTAGATTTAGCGGGGAATATTATCCGCTAGATTTAGCGGGGAAATTTTTCCGCTAGATTTAGCGGGGAATTTTTTCCGCTATAGCGGGGAAACTTTTCCGCTAGATTTAGCGCGGTTAATTTTTCCGCTAGATTTAGTGGGGCATTTTTCCCGCTAGATTTAGCGGAGAAATTTTTCCGCTAAATTTAGCGGAGAAATTTTTCCGCTAGATTTAACGGGAAAATTTTTCCGCTAGATTTAGCAAGGAACTTTTTCCGCTAAATCTAGCGAGGAAAAATTTTCCGCTAGATTTAGCGGGGGAATTTTCCGCTAAATCTGGCTGGGAAATTTTTCCGCTAAATTTAGCGGGGAAATTTTTTCGCTGGATTTAGCGGGGAATATTTTCCGCTAGATTTAGCGGGAAATTTTTCCGCTAGATTTAGCGGGGAATTTTTCCCGCTAGATTTTTCCGCTAAATCTAGCGGGGAAAAGTTTTCCGCTAGATTTAGCGGGGAAACGTTTCCGCTAGATTTAGCGGGGCATATTTTCCGCTAGATTTAGCGGGGAATTTTCCCCGCTAGATTTTTCCGCTAGATTTAGCGGAATTTTTCCGCTTGATTTAGCGGGGAAATTTTTCCGCTACATTTAGCGGGGAATTTTCCCCGCTAGATTTAGCGGGGAAATTTTTCCGCTAAATTTAGCGGGGAATTTTTTCCGCTAAATCTAGCGGGGAAAATTTTTCCGCTAGATTTAGCAGAGAAATTTTTCCGCTAAATCTAGTGGGGAGTTTTCCGCTAGATTTAGCGGGGAAATTTACCCATAATGCACCGCGCGGTTGCTCCGACGGCGACGGCGACGCCGACGCCGCTCAAGCCGGAAACGGGCCCCTAATGCTGCGCTCTAAAAAATGAAAGCCGTTTACAACTCCCTGTAACGTCGAATTAGAGCGCAGCACTTGAGGAGGAGGAGGGAATGGTACTGAGGGGAGGCTATGCTCCTCGTCCTCTCCTGCTCGCCTCCCATTTAGGAGAAATTTTTCCGCTAAATTTAGTGGGGAAATTATTTTCCACTAGTTTTAGCAGGGAAGTTTTTCCGCTAGATTTAGCGGGGAACTTTTTCCGCTAAATTTAGCAGGGAAAATTTTTCGCTAAATTTAGTGGGGAAATTTACCCATAATGCACCGCGCGGTTACGCCGACGCCGCTCAAGCCGGAAACGGGCGCCTAAGAGGTGCGCTTTAACAAAAGCCTTTATTCATAAAACGAATGGGAGAGCTTGGACATCAGGATTCTGCACACAAAGGGTAAGAGTTAAATTCTTGCACGGTGTCTTCTAAAAACCTGTTGTCACATGACGAAGCGTAGCTAAGGTCGGAAGTCGGCCGTATGGTCGTACGCCTCCTCTGATTGCCAATGAGTTGATATTTGCCACAGTAAGCTGGCATCCAATGAATCATTCTCTATGCTATGACATGAATAAATGCAGCTCTACAAATATTTTTCTTGCACACTTGGATGTTGCTTTGTTTGAATTCGTGATTCATTCAAATGGCTGGTGGGCCTAAAAGGTTACAAGAGGTCTAGGTCTTTGACTTTGAATCCTGTTCTGAATGGGTCATCGCCGGTCTAGAATTTTCCTTGCTTCCCGTTTGCATTGACACATCACTTCGATGTGCAATTTTTCTCCCCCATGCAGATACATTCGGAAATGCTTTGTGTAAGCTGAAGGTAGCAGAAGAAACGTCTCACTTGGAAAGTGAAAAAAAGCAAGATCGAGAAGCGGAAAATACGAAAGCGTAAAGTAATTATATTTTCTGACGACAGTGAAAGCAATGATCTTGATGACCCGTCCTCTCCAACATAAAACATATGCCCTCCAGGTGATCGTAATGTTTGAGTATTACCTAATTTGATTAACATTGCAGCTGTGCTATTTCTAACTGAAATAGAAAGCAGTAAAAAAGCCAGCATTGCCGGATTCTTTTTATCACATCAACTGCACCTCACATTGATTTGGCAGCAATATGACTTTAAAGAAAATTAAAAAAAAAAAAAAGTTTTAGAAATGTTTTTGGAAGGACTCACAAATCCTCCTCTAATGGAAAATGCAGGTCGGCTACTTAATACTGCTCGGTGGAGGACGTTAGGTATATCCAGTAATTTTGAGTTGTCCTTGTTGATCAGGCGCTGTTTCTGTCTTGCACTGTATTTGCAAAGATGAACTCTCTTTACGAATACGAACACCGAACGCACCCCGCTACTGGACCCCTGAAGTCTGCGTCGTTGCCCGCCGTAGACCCTGGCAAGTTTCTTGGCCTTATTTTTTACAGAAACGGAGCTGCGCTTTGTAATTTTACAAAAAGAACCTGACCTGCGAAATACACCTTTGACGAAAAGTTTAGATCACTACGTGGAGCGTCGATTTAACAGTCCATTTTAGATCGAGCCTGGTGACGTGGACCACCCTATATATAGGCTACATGTGAAATAAGACACTGATTGTCAGACATTCTGTCCTCTTCAGAACATGGGATATAATGTTAAATTTGCATGCTACATATGGCTATTTTTCAGGTGAGCTTCCTCGGACACACAAAGTTATTATTGAAACTTTATGCGCGCCATCTGGGTGTGTAAAATAAATTCTTCAAATACTCTGTGTACTTCTTATGAATAGTATTTTATTATAATGTTTCCGTTTTACGACCTACAAAGAGATGGTTTCTACAGCCAGGTCCAAATATTATTTCAATTCAAACGAGTTCGGC